TTACTCTTACCTTTATGAGCAAAAATGACGGTGTATTTTAAGTTAAGTTTATCACGCTGGCGCCTCCATGTCCTGCAAAGCGTGCTTTAGCTTCCACTCTCCGCACAAACTATTGGATACAGCGCACATTTATCTAGGTTTAACGTTTAAACATTGTCATATGCTTGAACTGTTTTATATCTATAGATTTTATTTTAGGCAAGTCGTGATGATTTGAGAAGGCTAAATTGATCAAACACAGGCTCACTGTCTGCCGCTGGCCGCTTGGTCGTTCCTTTAAAAAACAAAAACTTATATTTAATGAACAAAAACATGCTCCAATCATTTTTCTAAATTAACTTAATAAAAAAATGAAACCAAATATAATCACTTTGCCATTACATACAAAACTGAACTATTTTAATAGCTGAAACAATAGTATAAGCCGTCATACTGATAAGCTTCAGTATGAGTGTAGTAAACAAAACCGCGCATCTGTGCCATTCACACAGAGACACATAAAACATGGAGGATTCATATTTAAATGGTATATTTGCGGCTTAATATTTACTGATAATGATCCATATTGCGATTTGATTTAAGTGTAACGAAGTACTTTTGATTAATTAATTAAATTTGACAAATTCCGTGACATTCTGCATTATACAGTAAATTCCATTTTTATGATGCCGCGATTCCGTCCACGTTTTCCACATCACAGAAACCATAGGGCCCTACATTAAATACAGTCACACAAACCAAATTAAACATTAAAAGTTAAATCCTGATCACTCTAATCAATTCTAAAATCTATACTAAACAGATACGATTTCAATCTAGCCTTAAAAGCATCATCAGATGGGGAAGATTTAATATGCATTGAAAGAGGGTTCCATAATCGAGGAGCAGGTACTGAGAAAGCCCTATCACCCTTTGATTTTAATCTCGTTTTAGGAACATGAAGAATCATCTCGAAGATCTCATATTCCTTGTATTTTGATAAGGAATCAAAAGGTCAACAATATATTTAGGGGCAATGCATTGCAATGCTTTAAAAACATCAAACATCACCTTAAATTCAATTCTAAATTTGACAGACAACCTGTGTAAAGAAACCAAAACTGGAGTAATTCTCTCTCTTCTCTATGCGAGTCAAAAGTCTGGCAGCAGCATTTTGTACTAATTGAAGACGGGATAATTGCCCTGTGAAATACCTATATTTACAGAATTACAGTAATCGATGTGTGAACATACAAAAGCATGAATAACAGTCTCCAGGAGTACTTTGATAAGGAATCAATAGGTCACCAATATATTTTGGAGCAATGCCATGCAACGCTTTAAAAACCATCAGCAAAACCTTAAACTCAATTTTAAATTCTACAGGCAACCAGTGTAAAGAAACCAAAACTGGAGTAATTCTCTCTCTCTTCTTTGTGCGAGTCAAAAGTCTGGCAGCAGCATTTTGTACTAATTGAAGACGGGATAATTGCCCTGTGAAATACCTATATTTACAGAATTACAGTAATCGATGTGTGAACATACAAAAGCATGAATAACAGTCTCCAGGAGTTGATAAAACGCAGCCTTCACAACACTAGTAACCTGTTTATCTAAAACTAAAGCTGAATCCATTATAACACAAACATTCTTGACATGATCTGAAACACTTATCTTCATAGAGGCCAACCTTCTTATAATTTCCTTGGAAGCAGAATTAGAATGTTAAATGTTAGAATGCCAAATTAGAATGCTGTTTCCACATAACTTACGTGATCCCGCTGCAAGCACATTCATTACTATAAGACACATGGATGCACGCACACGGAGTTGAAAGAGCAAGATCCAATGAATGCTGTAGGTAACCCCTTCATTTTTTTTTTTTTTTTAGCATTTAGATTTTACGAATCCTAGACGAAATCTCTTGCCTGTGAAAAGATAGTGAGAGCTGATGTTGAGGAATAGAGTCAAAAACTCAAAAAAACGCAATAATCATACTCTGTGTGTGTGTGTGAGAGAGAGAGAGAGAGTGTGTGCGTGTCTGTGTGTGTGTGTGTGAGAGAGAGAGAATGTGTGTGTGAGAGAA